ACATCTTCCCCTTTGAACTGACCGGCAGGAATAGTTGCTTTAATAATACATGGACTCCTGGTTGGGAGGACTCCTGTTAGGAGCAATGCAGCTCCCATGACAACCCGAAAACCTGCCATACATTTGTTGCAGAATTTATTAATATAGTACAGTATATCTCTTTAGATATAGTATACTGAGACAGAGGAAATTTATTAGTATAATATTTCTCTCTGCCTCTACTTTGTTGCAGAATACTATGCATACATCATATTTTGGGGCTTAATTAAAGCATTTTTCAAATATAGACCTTCAACAATAGGAGATCCCTGAAAAATTGCCCGTGATATGCATGCAAGATCTTTCTGATGAGATATAAATCATGTCTCTATGTCAATGGGTTATTGCGTTATTGGCGGAAACACAGACTGTCTTTATTAGTGTAGATGATGTGAAACGTTTTGCCACATAAGGAAATGGAAAGGACTTTATGGGAATTTGGATGGGCAGCTGTGTATCATGATGAGCTGAGTCCAGTCTGAATTTTATACTGTTACTGTTTTGCCCACAAAATATAGTCAATTCACGTTATAGTATATCCTGTGAATCACTTTGAGGCATCTCAAACACGTGATAAGGCGTCATATCAAATGCAAGGGTTATTATTACTATGTGTTGGATGACATCAAGGGGGACAGGCAGAGCAGAGCGGTGTGTGTGTGTTCCAGGCTCTCTAACAGGATTGCAAAGCTCCTGGTTGTGGACGATATTCTGTTGCTGGGGACTCACCTGGGGATCTTCTGCACTGCACCCACCATCTAGAACCCTCAGCCGCCCGGTGGGACATGGGACATGGTGGTAAATGCCCCCCGTGCGTGGTATTATAGTTCTGCACGGCTCAAGACAAGACATCGATGATATTGATTGGCAGATACTTGGGGCATCGGTCCCAATTGTTGTCCTGTCCTGTGGCAGTTGCTGAGACAGTGTAAAGGGCTGTAAAGGTTGTTCTCGCTTTCCCAGGACAGAGTAAGCCTATGGCGATAACAGGAGACATACAACAGTGTTGGGGGAAAAAGGTCCTGTATAATAAGGTAACCTCACATACTGTGCTCAGCGCGAGAGAACCTTTGTCCTTTTATTTACAAATTGTTTGCGATATAACCAGACATAACAGAGAAAACTTTATATGGCCTCAGCTGTGATACAAACAGCATTGCTCTCACAGGGTATTAGTGGGATATTTAGCAGCTCTCTCTCACAGCGTGTTGGTGGGATACTTAGTGGAGTCCAGAAGTTTAGTGGTTAGAGCACTCTCCTCGCACGCGAGAGGCCATGGGTTTGATTCCCAGGAGGGCGAAACATTGGGTAAATATCCTTACTCCATATGCCTCTGTTTACTTAGCCGTGAGTAGGAACCCAGTTATTAGTCGATTGACGTATCGCTTTTCCAAGGGTAATAATCCCTCTGAAAAATAATAATAATAATCATAATTTGATCACCAATCCAGGATTGTTTGTGGGCCACTTCAGTGCACAATTGGCTGCTTTGAGACATCTTGAAGATGTGATAAGGCACCGTATCAACTGCGAGGACTATTACTATTACTTGTTCTCTCTCACATTGAGTGTTAATTGGCTATTAACTGCTCTCTCTCTCCCTCTCTCTCTCTCACACTGTGTGTTAGTGGGATATTTACAGTCAGGATCACACTGAAAGGTAGTGAAGCCGACAATTGTGCTGGAAGCTTAGACTCTGAGAGAAATGGTTCAGTAATAACTGCAAGAGTCAGTGATGTGGAAATATCACACGCCAGAGACCCAAACAGCCTGGAAGATTGGCTGTTGGAAGATTCTCACAAACAGCTCCCTGCCTCCCCCCCAACCCCACAAACACAGCCCACACACACACATGGCCCCCACACAAACACCCACATGCACATAACCGCCCACCCCTTCCACACACACATACACACAACTCCCCTCCCCAACACGCAGCCCACACACACACCACACATATCCCCCCACACACGCAAAACACAACACACACACACATTGCCCTCCCACACACACTTTCCCCCCCACACACACCACAAACACACACACACAGCTCCCCCCACCCCCACACAAACAGCGAATATTCTCACGATTTGTGCCCAATATTCCCACTAAATCTCATTCACTTGCTGTCTGTAGAGGAAGTAAGCAGCTGCTGCCTGGATAACGGCTACTGTGTTATCCTACAAGTTACAGAGTCACCACACCACAGTAATTTACGATGAGGCTCTGAGACATTTGCAGCACTATAGACGTTGCATGAAATGTGAGAGGGTGGGTGATACGTGATGTCCATACACCAGTCAGGTCCACTTGTTTCTCTGGGATCAGCCCCGTTCCCGGCTGGGATGGGCTTTCCCGGCTGTGGAGCGTGCGATGGGATAAAGTCCCAGGTCGAACTGCTCCCACAAGCCTGAGGTCTTGTTACCAACCCACCTGAGCTGCTGGCATCTGCTCTGCCTGTGGTATTGGCTTCTGCGTGTGTAAAGTGACTAGCTGACAGGCAGGCGCTCAGTCCTGGACAGCTACAACACTGAGCCGGGGGTAGGGAGGAGGTGACTGTAAGCACGGTTGAAGAACTTCAGTCGTAATCAAAAGAGGGGAAGGAGGAGGCAAGATAGAGGGATTGAGGCAAAGCACTCCAGAGTTTCAGGGCGCAGTGGCTGAAAGTGCGGCCGCCGATGGTGGAGCGGAGGACAAGAGGGACAAGCAGGAGGCAGCAGGAGGTGGAGTGGGGAGAAAGCAGGTCGGTGAGATAAGAGGTGCCAGGGCATGAAGGGATCTGTAGACGAGTGAAAGGATCTTGAACTTGATCCGTTCTGTGATTTTCTGGCAAGAACTGGTGTGATGGGGGTACAGAGTTTAGTGTGAGTGAGAAACAACTATTTTGTTTCATCCGCAAAATATACAGTTAATTCACTTTACAGTGTATCCCGTGAAGTGCTTTGAGATATCTTGAAGACTTGATAAGGCGTTATAATCAAATGCAATTATTATGATTATAATTAGTCACTTTAATACTTACACATAGATAGTCACTTTACAACAACTTGCATTTATATAGAGCCCTTCACACGGGCTAGCGTATCAGAAGCTTAACAGTGGCGGAGCCTGACTCCAAGCCGTCTTTGCACACTTACACATGGATAGTCGCTTTGCACACTTAGACAATGGCAGTCACTTTTACACACTGAATGTGCCGTTTGCTCTGCATATTTACAGGTACAAGTAACCGATAAAGTAGTCAAGGGAAATGCAGTGGATATAATGTATCTGGATTTCCAGAAGGCCTTTGATAAGTGCCCCACGAGAGGTCTAGGTCTAGGTGAAAACCTAAGAGGAATGGAGGAGCAAAGAGATCTGGGGATTCAGCTCCATACACCTCTGACAATAACTACACAGGTACATAAGGCTAAAAAAAGGCCAATGGGGTTTTGGGCTTCATATGCAGAGGGATGGCGTATAAAAGTGAGGAGGTGTTGTTGATTTTTTATAAAAACTGGGTTAGACCATAAGCACTGTGTCCATTTCTAGTCTCCACACTACAAGAAGGATGAAACCAGAGGATGAAACCATCCTCTTTACGAGGATGAAACCAGAGCTGGCAGGTTACTGCTATAGACTGGATAGCATATGTGTATATACAGATATAGAGAAATCTATGTGGATAGTATACATAGAATCGTAGAATATTACAGCACAGAAGTGCCTGTGCCGGCTCTTGGGAAGAGCTACCCAATCAGTCCCACTCCCCCGCTCTCTCCCCGTACCCCTGCAAATTTTTCCTTTTCAAGAACTTATCTGATACCCTTTTGAAAGTTGCTATTGAATCTGGTTCCACCAGCCTTTCAGGCCGTGCATTCCAGACCATAACAGCTCTCTGTGTAAAAAAAATGTCTCCTCATCTCCCCTCTGGTTCAAATTGTCTTAAATCTATGTGGTCTGGTTACTGACCCACCAGCCAATGGAAACAGTTTCTCCCTGTCCCCTCAATCAAAACCACTCATAACGTTGGGTCTTTATAGGCTTTATAAATAGGGGCATGGAGTACAAGAGTCAGGAGGTTATGATTAACCCATATAAACACTGGTTAGGCCTCAGTTAGAATACTGCCCCAGTTCTGGGCACCACACCATAGGAAGGATGTTAAGGCATTGGAAAGGGCGCGGAGGAGATTTATGAGGATGGGACCAGGAATGGGGACTGTGATGATGAAGAAAGGCTCGAGAGGTGAGGATTATTCTCATTGGAGCAGAGAAGGTTACGAGGAGACCTAATAGAGGTCTTCAAAATCATGAGGGATTTGATGGGTTAGAAAGGGAAAAACTGTTCCCGCTGGTGGGAGTGTCGGTGACTCGAGATCACAGATTCAAAATAGTCTCTAAAAGAAGCCGAGGGGAGGGGACCTATTTTCACGCAGCGAGTTGTTCGAATCTGGAACGCATCGCCTGAAAGGGCGGTGGAGGCCGATTCGGTAACAACTTTTAAAAATATGGTGGATGGGTATTTGAGGAGGACGGGTTTGCAGGTTATGGGGAAAGGGCCGGGAAGTGGGATTGACTTACAATGCTCTATTCAAACAACCGCACAGACTCGATGGGCCGAAAGGCCTCTTTTTGTGTTGTACAATTCTATGATTCTATGATTTTTTCATTAGAGAAGAGACGTTTAAGGAGCATTTAGGAGGAATTACTTTATACAGAGGGTAGTGAGATTGTGGAACTTGCTGCTTGAAGAGCGGGAGTTGAAGCAGCTGGTGTAATACATTCAAGAGGAAGGTGCATTTTAGAGGTAGGTATACATGATGGAGAGGGGAATAGACTATGTGGGAGGGAGGGAGGAATAGAGGATGTGGGAGTGAGGAAGGAATAGAGGGTGTGGGAGGGAGGAAGGAATAGAAGCGTGGGTGGAGACTCATGTGGAATATAAACACTGACATGGACTTGTGTTTCCATGCTGCACAATCTATGTAAATGTATTTAAAGTTGGTTTTAAACACTTGGAACACGTCTACTACTTTGAACCGTTGTGTACATATCGCACTTTTTACACATGCAGGTGAGAATTGCTTTCCATGCTTACACTCGCACGGTGTTGGACAGCATGTGGCATGTGCCACTCATGGTCAGGGAGCGAGGGCAGGGCCCAGAACTACTGACAGGCACAGAGTAAGAGGTAACCGGGCATGGACAGCCTGGGGCAGACTGGGCTGGCGAGCGAACTGGGGCAGGATGGCATGGGTCAGGGGCAGGTTGGGTTGGGACAGGGGCAGGTTGGGGCAGGGGCAAGTTGGGTTGGGCAGGCGATGGGTGCTGGATGCTCCCTGGCAGCTCTGGGGTGGAATTGCTCAGGGTTTCTCATGTTTTCACAGAGGAGGTGATGGTAAGCGGTGATTGGCCGCCGAGCAATGAGTGAGGGGTTCAGGGGGGTCCCACGGTGCTGACCGTGGTGTAGCTGAACTTGGAGAGAGAAGCTCCAGTCACGCCGGCCTCCTCGTCTGTCTCCTTGAAGAGCGGGAAGGGGCGGAGGCAGCCGCGACAGGTACCGAGCAGTGCCTTGCGGAAACGCTTGTTCATGAAGCAGTAGACAATGGGGTTGACACAGGCCGAGGTGTAGCTCAGCAGGTGGATGAAGGAGATGGGAGCCCCCGACAGTCTGCGAGCAGCCGAGAGCTGGTCAAAGGCTCTCCAGGTGTTGACACTGAAGATGGGCATCCAGCAGATAAAGAACATCACGACGATGACAATCAACATCCGGATCACTCTCTTCTTGGCCACCAGCTTGGACTCGGAGGCATTGCTCCGGGCACGGTCCAGCTTGGCGCTGCCCGCTGGTGTGAGCATGGACATCTCCACCGCGTTGCCACTCTTGCCGGCCTGAATGTAGCAGCCATCGTTGTCCTCGCTGCCATGAGGGCCGGCTCCGCCCAGCCCTGTGCCTGCTCCGTTCCTGTGTCCTAAAGCAGATTTCACTGGTTATTATGGAGTCCTATAGTTTAGTGGTTAGAGCATTCACCTCACAAGCAGAGGACCTGGGTTCGATTCTCAGGCGGTGCTAACCTCAGACAAGTTTCCTTACTCCACACTCTGTTTATCGAGCAGTAAGCAGGAACCGGTTGTTAGTCAATTGGTGGATCATTTATCCAGGGGCAATAATCCCTCCCAAAAAATTTAGTCACTCAATCCACGACTGTTTGTGAGACACTGCTGGGCACAATTGGCTGCCGCAATTTGCCCACAGAATATGCAGACACTCCACTTTACAATATATTCTGTGAAGTGCTTTGAGATAAGGAGCTACATCAACTGCAAGGATTATTATTATTATCATAGAGAAGGAGGCTCTCAGCCTGTGTGTAGCTTGCTGTACATATAGGCTTGCAGAGCTGCCCAGAGGAACACCTCTGATATAGCCAGCATATGACACACGTCAGAGACCATGTCCCCTACAAAACACAGTCACTACACTTTACATCACCGTGATGGTCTCCTGACTTGAAACACACTATGTCAAATACAGGGATTACTATACCAGCATGGTTTGTTTCCTCTATCCAGCCTCCGAGTGAGGAGATTCCCTCTAACCGCTCGCCTGACTCTATTTGTGTGCCGGAGACTGAGCTGCTCAATACCTACTCTCATTGTGCTCAGCCTGAAGGTCTGACACAGGTTCAGACCATTCACTGTGCTTTCTGGAAGGAAGTGATCAGGTGGGAGAGAGGGTCTGTTTCATCCAAACTAACCTTGTAATCTTAAGTCTCCAAACCAGACAGATCACCTACACATGGAAATCTCCTTCTGTCTGGAATGGAATGTGCCCTCTCTCTGGAGGGATGCATCCTGTTTACCTAATTCCGCAGGTGCCAGTTGGCAAGAGCCAAGGCTTGGGGACTCCAGAGTGTGCGTTTCAGTAACTGCTGCAGTCTAACCAACTAAAATCGTGCAGCTTGCCCGTTCCTGCTCCAGTTTCTAGACAGGAGTCTTGGAACAACAACAACAACAACAAGATTCCATTTATTGAGCGCCTTTCATGGCGGGAGGACGTCCCAAGGCGCTGTACAGTTGGGTCAGGACCCGAGCAGTGGGGAAATGGTCAGGGCGAGGGGAGGGAAGGGAGGGAGCGAGGAGGGGGGAAATGGTCAGGGCGAGGGGAGGGAAGGGAGGGAGCGAGGAGGGGGGAAATGGTCAGGGTGAGGGGAGGGAAGGGAGGGAGCGAGGAGGGGGTAGAGAGTCGAGAGGGGAGCTGAAGGCTCGGTCAAAGAGAAAGGTCTTGAGACCAGCCTTGAAGGAGGAAAGGGAGGAGGTGGCGAAGGCACTGGGGGGTGGAGTTCCAGAGCCTCGGGGCTGAGAGGCTGAAGGCCACCGATGGTAGGGCGGTTGGGGCGGGGGATGTGGAGCAGACCGGAGCCAGAGGAACGGAGGGTACGGGCAGGTAGGTAGGGGGATAGTAGGTCGGAGAGGTAGGAGGGAGCGAGGCCGTGAATGGACTTGTAGGTGAGGATGAGGATCTTGAATTCGATCCTCTGGGGGATGGGGAGCCGGTGGAGGCGAGCGAGGGCGATGGTGAGGGTGAGGGTGGGAGTGATGTGGGTGCGGTGTCTGGTGCGGGACAGTACACGAGCTGCAGAGTTCTGAATGACCTGCAGTGTGGAGGGAGGGCCGGGAAGGCCGACGAGGAGAGAGTTCCCATAGTCCAGCCTTGAGGTGATAAAGGTGTGGACCAGAGTTTCAGCCGCGTGAGGGGTGAGGTAGTGCCGTAGTCTGGCGACATTCCGGAGGTGATGGAAGGCGGTGCCAGTTGTGGTGCGGATATGGGGGAGAAAGGACAGCTCAGGGTCGAACAGAACCCCGAGGTTCCTGATGGCTTTGAGAGGTGGAGAGTGCGGAGCTGATGCTGTCAGCGCCTGAGGTGCGGAGGCGCTGACGTGAGCCAATGTGGAGGGCCTCAGTTTTGCACACGTTGAGCTGAAGAAAGTTGTCTCTCGTCCAGGACTCGATATCGGACAGACAGCTGTCAGGACATCGGGGATCGTGGAGTTGAGGGTAGAGGAGGAAAGGTAGAGTTGGGTGTCATCCGCATACATGTGGGAGTGAACCCCATGTCTGCGGATGATGTCACCACAGGGGGAGCATATAGAGGGTGAAGAGGAGGGGACCGAGGACAGAGCCCTGAGGGACACCGCACGAGACAGTGCGGGGGGTGGAGGAGAAGCCATTCGTGGAAACAAAGTGAAGATAGTGGGAGAGGTACGACCTAAACCACTCAAGGACAGTGCCTTGAAGGTTGAGGTGGGAGGACAAGCGGTGGAGGAGGATAGCGTGGTCGACCGTATCGAATGCTGCCGATAGGTCGAGGAGGACGAGGAGGCAGAGGAAGTCAGGGAAAGAGATGTGAGAAATAATCACGAACCTTTTGCATCCTTCTTCTGAGTCACCTCAAACTGAATGCCCCGGTAGAGCTCGCAGGAGATCAGCCCGTATGCCACAATCATCACCAGGCCCGGCAGGAAGAAGAGGATGATGAGGAGGAAGACATACCTGCAGAGAAGAACCGTCAGGTCACCTCAATCCCTGCCTCTGGCTTTAGCCATGTACATCCCATGGCTGCCTCCTACCCGCTTCCTGTCTGCTACCCACTGCTGCCCACTTTCTGTATCATATGTTCCTAGGATGTCTGACATGTTGCTAGAATGTGTGACTAGTATGTGTGAGACGTTTATAGCTTGTGTGACATGTTCCTAGCATGTGTGATATGTCTCTAGCATACGTGACATGTTGCTAGAGTGTCTGATATGTTGCTAGCATATGTAATGTTGCTGGTGTGTATGACATGCTGCTAGCATATGTGACATTTTGCTAGCGTGTGTAACATGTTTCTGGCATGTGTGACATGTTTCTGGCGTGTGTGACATGGGTGCTTACCATGCCTGCTGCACTTGGATGCTTGGCAAGGCCAGACGGCACATGTGACCGAAGCTCTTGTCCGGCTTCTTGAACTGGACGAGCAGGAAATAGACGGGATAGGGGATCATGATGATGATGGAGATGATCCAGGTGGCCGCGATGACTCTGTAGGCGTGGGAGCGTGTCTGCCAGGCCCGGGACTGCAGCGGGTTACAGATGGCGCTGTAACGCTCGATGGCGATGGCCACCAGACTGAAGGTGGAAACACTGACAGAAATCCCTGCACAGAAAGTTAGCGGAGAGAGTGATAGCCCCCCAGTGATTGGCCGGTCACACTGACCCCCCAGTGATTGGCCAGTCACACTGACTCCCCAGTGATTGGCCAGTCACACTGACCCCCCAGCGATTGGCCGGTCACACTGACTCCCCAGTGATTGGCCGGTCACACTGACCCCCCAGTGATTGGCCGGTCACACTGACCCCCCAGTGATTGGCCGGTCACACTGACTCCCCAGTGATTGGCCGGTCACACTGACCCCCCAGTGATTGGCCGGTCACACTGACTCCCCAGTGATTGGCCGGTCACACTGACTCCCCAGTGATTGGCCGGTCACACTGACTCCCCAGTGATTGGCCAGTCACACTGACCCCCCAGTGATTGGCCAGTCACACTGACCCCCCCAGTGATTGGCCAGTCACACTGACCCCCCAGTGATTGGCCAGTCACACTGACTCCCCAGTGATTGGATCTGACCCCCAGCGATTGGCCAGTCACACTGACTCCCCAGATGCCAGTCAAACTGACCCCCAGCGATTGGCCAGTCACACTGACTCCCCAGTGATTGGCCAGTCACACTGACCCCCCAGCGATTGGCCAGTCACACTGACTCCCCAGTGATTGGCCAGTCACACTGACTCCCCAGTGATTGGCCAGTTACTTTGTCTGTTTTTGGGACCATAGAGACAAAGTGATGCCTTACCCATGAAGTATGCGGTGACCTTGCACATCGTCTCACCAAAGATGAAGTCTCCCAGGAGGTTGGGGATGAGGGTGAAGGGCATGCAGAAGATGGCGACCATCAGGTCACTGAGTGCCAGGGAGAGCAGGAAGGAGTTGGTGACCGTCCGCAGCCTCTTGTTCAGGATCAGTACCACGATGATCATCATGTTGCCAAAGAAACTGAGGAGGAAGATGATGGAGTAGAGGAGGATACGCACCGTGTAATCCAGGTCTGAGAGAAAACAAGGTTAGTGTCAGTGAGTGTCAAACATACAGTTACTCCCCCATAACCATTCCCCCAATATAATTTCAAGTTGTTGTTGTCTGTAATGTCTGGAATTCCCCACAGATTGGCACTGGGCCAACTGTTTTCTGTAAATACTAACAAAAACAACAAATTACACTTGTATAGACCCCTTCACATTGGAAAGATGTCCCAGGGTGCGCAAAGGTCAGGGCTTTTTGGACCTGAGCTGGGAGTTGGTGTCAGCAGGGTGTGGGGCCACAGGTACCATCAAAGAGGAAGGTCTTTAGATGGTATTTGAAGACGACAAGACAGTGGGTGAGGTGGAGGGATTGCAGGTTACAGTTCCAGATTGTGGGGGCAGAGATGCTGAATGCCCACCAATGGTGGGGCAGGAAGTGCAGGGGACCTGAAGGAGGCCGGTTTCCGCTGAGCGGAGGTAGCCGACAGGCTGATATGGGGTTAGGAGGGCAGAGAGTTGGGGGGAGCATGACCATGGAGGGCTTTGAAGGTGAGAACTAGGGTTTTGTACTCGATTCTCTGAGGGATGAGTGAAACCGAACAAGAATGGGGGTGATTAGTTTACAGAGCCTGTTCCGGAAGAGGACACAAGCTGCAGAGTTCTGAATAATCTGCAGCTTGCAGAGGGAAGAGTTGGGAAGTCCAGTGAGCAGGCAGTTGGTGTAGTCAAGCTGGGTTATAATAAAAGCGTAGGTCAGGGCCTCAGCAGACCTGCGGTGAGAGGCAGTGGTGGATGTGGGCAATGTTGCAGAGGTGTAGAAAGACAGAAAGGGTCACAGCACGAATATGGGATTTGAAAGATAGCTGGAGGTCAAAAACGACACAGAGCTTTCATATTGGTGAGGTGAAGAGTGCAGCCATGAATAATGATAATGTCAGTGGCTGAAGTGTGGAGGCACTCCTGGGAGCCAAGCAGTTGGGCCTCTGTCTTGCCAACATTGAGCTGGAGGAAGTCGGCTCTTGTCCAGGACTTGATGTCAGACATCAAAGGTCCTGGAGTCAAGGGTGGAGGCGGTGAGATGGTTGGGTGTCATCTGCATTCATGTTGAAATTGACCCCATGGAGCCCTGGTCGCAGTTGGACAAAATGTCATTTGTCACCTTGACCAGGGCTGAATCTGTGCTGTAGGCAGCACAAAACCCAGATTGGAGGGGTTTGTGGAGGTCTTGCTGGGTGGGGGAAACGATGGAAAAACAATCTTGACTTAGGATTGCACCCAATCTTGTCAAACTGGAAGGACAATTGACTGTCAAAGTCATTGTAGAAATTTGTAAGCAGATATGAATGAGTGGGTAACCGTCGTGCGGGGTAGCGTGTCGGAGCATTTTAACAAGAGAGGAGAGAGATGACCTTAGGCGTGTGGTCGAAGAGGATCTTCTTCAGATGTGATCCATTGTAGGTCTTCACTTCAACCAAACCCGCTCCAAAAAGGTAACCAGCACAATAGATATTGTAAAAAAAAATTAACACCAACCTCTATCATTCAATTGATTCTAAAATAAATCAACAATAGAGAATGGGATTGCAGACCAGTGAATTACGCCCACTGGTTGGCTTTTAGCCACCAGTTTACTTACCTCCAGAAATAAATCTGGCAGTTTAGTGAGTGAGATGTGATTCATTTCTCCACAAAGCACAGAGGACCTAAATCAATATCTACAGACACTGACTGGTGGGGTTTTATTCTGTAGCGTTAGCAGGAGGCTGGGACTTCAAAATGCTGGTGACCAAATGTTTGGGAAAGCCTGAGATTAAAAGATTCGAGTGCAGCACTGGAACAGAATGATGATCATCCAATAACAATAGTAATTTGTACGTTTGGTACAGCGACATTCACATCAGGAGGATGTCCTAAAGGAGTATGCAGTAAAGTGACTGTGTGCTGTGAAGGTAAATGCAGCAGCCAATTTGCGTACAGCAATGTCCCACTAACAGCCATGAAGTAAATGACCAATTTTAATTTGGGGATTGTTGGCTAGGACACTGGGAGAAACTCATAAAACTTCCCCATTTGGCCACTCACATTACCTTTGCCCCAATCATCTTAAGCTAATTGAAGTCTCCAATTATTATACCCAGTTATTTCTCCTCATCTCCTAGATTTGAGATCCTTAAAAAAAATTGGTCACTCAATCCACGGCTGTTTGTGGGACACTGCTGAGCGCAATTGGCTGCCACATTTCACCCACAAAATATACAGTCAATTCACTTTACAGTATATTCTGTGAAGCACTTTGAAACGTCTCGAAGTCGTGATAAGGTGCTGTATCAAATGCAAGGATTATTATTATTATAGATTTCTGTACAGATTTCTTCCTCTGTCTCATTCTCATTTTTCGGTGGTCTAGAATAAATTCCCAACAGAATACAACAACAAGTTGCATTTATACAGCACCCTTCACGCAGGAAGGACATCCCAAAGTGCTGAGATGTCTCAAAGCACTTCGCAGAATATACTGTAAAGTGAATTGACTGTATATTTTGTGAACGAAACGTGGCAACCAATTGCAAACAGGAATTTTTCTAAGGGATTATTACCCCTGGAAAAGTGATCCGCTAAATCAACTAACAAGCGGGTTCCTTCTTACTGCTAGGTGAACAGAGGCATGTGTAAGGAAGCTTGCTCAACATTTCGCCCTGCCCAGGAATCAAACCCAGATCATCTCGCTTGTGAGGCCAGTGCTTTAACCACTAAGATACAGGACTCACTACAAGTAATAATAATAATAATAATCCTTGCAGTTGATATAGCGCTTTTCACGTCTTCTAAATGTCTCAAACTCTTCAGAAAATATACTGTAAAGTGAATTGAATGTATATTTGTGGGCAAAACACGGCTGCCAATTGCGCACAGTGGTGGCCCACAAATAGTTGTGGATTGAGCGACCAAGGGATTATTATTCCGGGAAAAACAATCCACCACTCGACTAACAATTGGGTTCCTCCGTACTGCTGGTAGTCGTGTGGAGCAACAATTTGCCCTGCCTGGGACTAGAACTCAGGTCTCTCGCTTCTGAGACAAGTGCTCTCGCCACTGAGCTCCAGGACTCCACGTGATAAAGGGGGTGCAGAAAAAACCAGGCCTCCGTGGATGAAGAGAGAAATTAAACTGAAAATAAGTCTTAAAAGAGAGGCGCAGAATAAATGTAAGATAACACAAAATGGCATCAGAGAGTAGAGAATATAGAAGTAAAGCAATAAAGAAAGGTCAAGTGAGGATAGGAGTAAAATACTAAAGGCAGAAATACTGAAGGATTTCATGAACATGTAAAAATAATTCATGTGGATAAGTTTGAGGTGATACACTTAGATAGGAAAAATGATAGGAGGCAATATAGACTTAGTAGCTCAATCTTAAGGGGGTGAACGTACAGAGATCTGGGTGTTCAATTAAGCGAATCATTAAAGGTAGTGGGGCAGGTAGATAGGGCAGTAAAAAAGGCATTTGGTGTACTGAGCTTCATTAGTAGGGGCACAGAGTATAAGAGTAGGGGTTATGGTTAATCTGTACAAAACACTGGTTAGGCCTCAGCTGGAGTACTGCGTCCAGTTCTGGGCACCTTACCTCAGGAAGGACATTAAGCCACTGGAAAGGGTACAGAGGAGATCACGAGAATGATACCAGGAATGGGGAACCTTAGCTATGAGGACAGACTGGAGAAGTTAGGACTTTTCCCATTAGAGCAGAGAAGGTTACGTGGGGACCTGATAGAGGTCTTCAAGATCATGAAAGGTTTTGACAGGCGAGATAAGGAAAAGCTGTTTCTGCTGGTAGGTGTGACCCGTGGTCACAGTCTGAAGATATCTACCAAAAGAAGCCGAGGGAAGGTTAGAAGAAATGTTTTCACTCAGCGAGTTGTTGGGATTTGGAATGATCCGCCCGAAAGGGCAGTGAAGTCCGATTTGATAACAGCTTTTAAGAGAGAACTGGACAGGTATCGGGGGAAGACGGGTTTGTGGGGTTATGGGGAGAAAGCTGGTGATTGGGGTTAGTGAAAGTGACGCTCTGTCAAAGAGCCGCACAGACTCGATGGGCCGAATGGCCTTCTGTGCCGTAACATTCTATGAATCTATGAATCTATGAATAAAGAAAAGGTCAGGCCAATTAGAGACAAAAAGGAAGAACTATCTGTGGAAAGCATACTGAATGAGGATTTGACCTCAGGTTTTACAGCAGAGAGTGACAGTGAGAAACTGTCCAAGAGAAGGAGATGTGGCAATTGGACTATAGAAAGGAGGACTAGAGAAAAGAAAATGGACAAGTTACCAGGGCTGATGGCAGTGTCTGGGAAAGCCATGGAGAGTCAAGAAAATAGCGGATTACAATGTTTCTGACATATGTACAAGAATAATAATAATCCTTGAATTTGATATAGCGCCTTATCACGTCTTTAAGACGTATCAAATCGCTTCACAGAATAGAATGTAAAGTGTAGTGACTATATTTGTGGGTGAAACACGGCAGCCAATTGCGCACAGCAACATCTCACAAACAGTCGAGGATCGAGTGACCAAATTATTATTATTTCTTTGTGATGGGTGGATTACTCCTGGAAAGCGATCTACCAATCGACTAACAACCGAGTTCCTATTTACTGCCGGGTCAACAGAGGCAAGTGTGTGGAGTAAGGAAAATTGCCCAACGTTTTGCCCTGCCCGGGAATCAAACCCAGGTCTCTCGCTTGCAAGGCAAGTGCTCTAACCACTGAGCTACAGAACTCCACAATTGTGACAGAAGACTGGAAGGTCGCTCATATACCTCTGTTCAAAACTAGGCAAGGTGGAAACCCAAGAGTAGTCAGAGCAGTCAGCCTAACATCGATAGTGAGCAAACGTGTAGAGAACCATGAGATGGTATATTTTCAACAATCACTTAGAAAGATGTGGGTTGATTGACGTCAGTGCAAATTTGTTAAAGGCAAGGCTTGCTTGACAAATTTAATAAGAGCTCTTTAATTAATTAATAG